CATTCCCATTGTCGTAGGTCAGGTATAGGAATACGAACAGCGGCTTAAGATCCAAGGACAAACGTCAAAGCAAGGCCTTGTGCTTAGACCTTTCGCACATTCCTCATTCACTAAAGCAGAATCCTCTGATCACTGTGCCGCCGTATCGCACCGATGAAAATACTATGTTCTCACGTATCATTATGTTTTTACGTAACACAAGCAGACCAAGATGAATTTCTAATAAAGCTACTCGATAACAATGCCTATTATCGATGTTACTCACGTATGCAATTCGAGATCTTATGCACCCTTATACCGTGCATACCTTAATCATTTATCGTTCCATGAATTTTCGAGGCCACTTAATAACACATGAACTCCCGCTGGTCCTTTGTACAATGACACATAGCACAGGCTACCGCGTGATTTGGAATATACATTCATCCCTCGAATACTAATCTTATACGCAAAGTCTTTCAGATAAGCGAAATGATAAGTGTAAACCCACTGAAACATTCTTGTCAATGTGAGTCCTCGTATTATTCTCGTATACATCAGCTGTTTGCATTCCACTACAATGATCCAGTCCACGATCAAACAGTTAATCAACGATATTAAGACAGTTAATGACTAACAGGCGTTAATGGCAGTTCGATAACGAAAGTTCTCCTTTTATTTGTCCTTAGAGTATCTTCGAAGCATTGTATATAGATTTAATAATAAATTTAAGTATAATGGCAAATTTGTTTATAACGGAGAATTGCAAAACCGTAAAGTACAGTGCAATCGTCATGAGTATTTTTTATGGGTATAAATGCATTTTGTCGATGCATGTATTCGGCCCAGAGATCGCGACATGCTGTGAAGGACGGGGGGGGGGGTCAAAATGCAATTCATCATTAGGGGAGAGGAAGAGAGAGAGACAAGACGCGATAAATGGGGATAGCAGGATGATATGCGAATGGTAGCATGAAAGAGGAAGGATAGTATTCTAGCCTTGTCCAATAGGGAGACACTGTTCTCAGCGTTTGAAACGTGCACGCACCTAACGCATCAATCTTCTTCGCCAACAATGTTCGCTTAAATTACCCTCATCGATATCAAAGTGACGAGGATGAGTTGGGACGGTAGCGGAAGATTGACAGAGAGGGAAAGTCGATTTGGTATAAGGGTGGCGTTATATTAGTGGGCTATCTGCGATAGGGAGAGACTGGTGCACTCATACAGTTAACGTAGTAGGGAAGAGCCCTTATCTGGGTGATAGTTCAAAATTGAGTTTATAAAGTGCACTCTTTCATAAAATCGACCTTTCGTCACGAACTTAAATGCATTCACTCTGAGGCAGATACTATAGATCAATTTCTGGGAACGTGGAGGTGGGGTGCGGTATATGTTGGGAGGGTGGGTACACGTGTGGGATATCTTGAAGTTGTGAGATTGGAAACAATTTTTGGTACGAATTATCTTTTTTTGGATTATATTTACAGAGATGTATGTGTTTACACGAGATATATACAGTGGCGTGTGAATTGTACGGAGGATAAGTTTTATTCGTGCGAATTTCCAAGATGATAAAAATAAAGTTAAATGGTGCTGGGATTAGAATTGAGGTAAAAAGAAAGATACGGCAAAAGAATGAGATAGACAAATTTATATAGAGACATATAAACAGCGATGGCAATAGAGTTCTGGGATGCAACTGCAATACCGTAAAAATGTTCTCGGATATCGGTTGCACCGGTGCACCGATATCGTGTTTAATGTTCCGTTATGAAGTTTACAGTCGTCCTTTATGGGCCATTACGATTGAAGTTTTCACACTGAAAAAGGATGAAAGATGATCGTCAATAAAAAACACTAATCCCGTTCGCATTTATGTAACGGATATAATCGATGTCATGACATGCATATATACCTATGTGAATTACATGGGTACATTACAACCTATACTATCTAGTAGACCGGGTAAGAATTATAGGTACGGGACGGATTATTAATTGATCGTTTTACATGGTTCATATAAGAGACTTCTATTGAGACTATTGAGAGTTAATAAAAGAAATAAAAAATTAATAAAGAAAGAAGAAAAATAAAAATGATTAATCTTCATTCATTTGAACATATTAAAAATCCTTGATTTTATATCGAAATTTATTATTTGAAATTTCAAAATGTTCTATATATGCTATATCTATTTGCTATGTGAAATAGCAGAGTGTAGTTTTTTCTGAATGTGTTCTGTTTATAGGGGCCATCTTCTTATTGTTTATAACGTTCAAGAGTCCCGTTAATCTGATTCTAAATTACGACTACGGTCGTAACGTTGCGGTTGACGAAAGTAACGTCAGACAGAGTGCTTCTATTCGTTTATTTTCAACTGTTTATGTTGTAATGGGGAAATAGGTGGAGGATTCCGTCAACGAGGATGGGTGTTAAAAGTGAGAAGAATCAAGTTCTGTAAAGTCTTTAGTGCCCTTTAATTCAAGAATGGTTTCACGGCCTTTGGAAAATTTATGGGATGACTCCGTTGGGGACATTTAATGCGGAAATTTGTAATTTCTTGGTGCGTTCTGTGGCCGTATTATATGTGCACAGCTGTATAGTACAGTGTACAATGCTGCGTGTACATATATATACATATGTATACACAGAAGAGGGAAATTCGCTTGTTTAACGGTAAATTAGTAAAAGTCATCTTAGGGTCCCGTTACATGTTCTCGAAGCTATCGCGGCCTCCTTAACGAAGCTTGTTTTAATTATCCTCAATCAACCCTCAGGCCGTTCACGCAGTCCTGCGCTTAATTCCATTAATTGCAAAGTGTCTCCAACTCTTCTTATTTTATACTTGCATTACAGTCTTTTTTATACTTTTTTCTTTATCCTTGTAATACTCTTGCTCCTTCCCTTAGACCTTAAAAAGCTTTTTAATTTTTAAAATTAAATTCTCTTCAATTAAACGGCTTGCTTTTTCTATTTTAAAATCTACAATATACTATCAATTTTTCATTTCTAATATCATAATTCATTAATAGTAGACTGATAATTGATTGCTATTAACAATGTGTGAATTATTAAAATTTCATTATGATAACTTGTCTTGGTACTATATTTAATCATCGTATCGCGCTTGTCTTATTTGCTTTATAAATTTCTTTTTTGTTCTATGCATGACACCACGTGCTTCGTCGAGAGTCCAAACAGATATCTTTGGTTCCAATAATTGAACAAGGCGAACGATCGTCAAACTGTGTTTTACGTAAATGACGGATAAGATAAGGAGTCTAGTGAACACGTTGGTACGGACACCGATGAAAAATGACGATAAATTTCCACGAGACGAGAGCACAGGGTGAGATAGAAGCATACAGTTCAATCTCGATTTTCAATAAATCTCGATAGAGGCGACACTGTTGCCGATCATGCGAATCCTATCGGCGACTCGGGAAATTAACACGTTTTCAGTGAATAGAATTTGGACGACAGCTTGACGACAGTGATTTACAGTTTAAAATAATCACGGTGAAATCTGTGGCAAGATCATCATGCAATGGTGGCTTATGGTAATGATAGTTCTTATCAGATCAATCTATCTCATGGAACACAGTCCGTGGCGTGTACTTAAACGAACCTCCTTTGAACTGACAAACAAAATATTCATTGTTAGCCAAAGGTTTGAATTTTCAATGAGAATTAAGATGCATCCGCTATCTTTATCTTGCAGATGTATGAATTAAAGGCGCGTATTATTTAATCTGACACGAAGGATGATGGGACATGAATTGAGTCTGGTTAAAACGTGATCAGGCATGCCTCTGGCCAAAATGGTAATAGCGTGCGCATGCGCACTGATGCCCGACATGTGCGTGCCCCTAAATGGAGCCCACGTGATACCGATTTTATCTACCCGCTTGTCTGGGTAGGATTGGCAGGGTGTATAGGGTGGAATACAAGAGGTGAGTAGACAGTTCATCGAAGTGTGGAAATTTCGTGCGAATGAGTAAATGCAGGAGGATTCCGCGGAGGATCCTTGTTAATGAGAATGAAATCGCGATAGGCTTCTTAATTAAAATCGTGCGTACCAATTGGCGCAACGTGACGGCTCTACGGTGAGAAATGTTGGAAACATAAATTTTCAATTTTAACCGACGCCAAAATGTTGAAAAAGTTTAATTGGAGCCGTCGTCGCGGCGCCAGTCGGGCAAACTTTTAAAGCATTTCCGGTCGAGTTAGAAAAGTGTACCTCTTCTTTTAGGGTCGGTTCCGGACGGGAGGAGAAAAAATGTTCTTGGAAGACTGTCAGTTGTATGACGTAAAGTATAGCACAATGAGCTGAGATCAAACGTTTTACTATAGCATGCGTTCAATTGCTTTTTATCCGACATTTTTATCAAGATTTCTTGCGCAGAGTTTTCAATACGCGCTTCTTGATGCTCGTGCGAGCGATAAATCAAGACTGTTTTTTCTGTCAATAGCAATTGACGCAAGTTACTAGCCGCTTGTATATTTCTCTTCGCAGTTCCTTGAGAATACGATATGTCCGACGTTCTCAGAATTTCGTCGCGGAACTCTTCAGTTCATCGTCGCTTCCGCAATCTGTATTATACGTACGTATATACACGTCTCTGACTTCGGTTTGAGTTCTTAAATTTTATATTTATTTCTTGAGAATAAAAGTACATTATGCGTACGGTACAGTCGTCGAAAGAAATGATAATGATGGAAGCGGTTGGACTTTCAAAAGAACGAAACCCATTCACACAAGCACATTTAATTGCATCGTTCTCTGCGAACGGTACCAGGACAGAATTTCATGTGACAATTTTCGCAGAACTTTTTGTCACTTCCCGTGCGTGCGGTACCGTTTCTTTTCCGGCGTATGGTCGGGAAGCGTGAATACGTTGAATTTATGGGAGCGAGCTCAGGAAGGAACAGCACGTGTAGTGGGGATATGTTGCGCGCGCAACTCCGAACCACGCTGCCGAACGGCATGGTCAGGTTGGACCAGTGACTCTGAAACGTTCGAACGAGTTGGATATACCGATTTTCGCTCCTGTATTTATTCTAACTCGAAGCCGGTTTATACCTGAAACTTTAAGCAGTATAAAGTTCTTTTCGGTACCTTTTACTGCACTAAGGTCCCGTCTAACAATAGGCGACATCGTGAATAGTTTTAGATCATCCTGGCACTCTAGGCTAGTTTGCAATTGTTTTCAAACAAACTTTTGCGGGAAAGCGGAATCTCTTGTGTTTTTGACAGACTGATAAGAAACACTAAGTGGAAGAAAGATACATTCAGAAGGACAAAAAGTGTTCTTGTGGTGCTTTTTAAGTGAACTTACGAATAAACAATTGCTTATACAGAACAATTTTAGGTCTAGTTATGTATTGTGTCTGAGTATTAGAAGTGACTTTGATTCCTGAGATTAACTTGGGATTCTTTATTTTTATCAAGATGAAATTGACCATTGGTTTAGTATTATTGACAGTGCTCGCGCTAGTACTATCCGAGCCGAATAATACCAAAACAAAAGTAAGAGTTTTAAAGTGCTGCCGTGACGATCAGGAGTTGAGAGAATCGGATGAACCTGGAATAGTAGCAAAATGTGTCATGTCACAAGGTCCTTGGTTACCACTGATTTATTCCCGAAGGCATCAAAAGCTTCTACCCAGCATACCAAATGAATGGGAAGTAATCGAAGATACGAAACCAAGATGTCCCGACAATACTGTCCTCACCTTCGTACCCGACGCACCGAACCCTTTTTTCCTAACAGAAGAGGGTCACGCACTCCTCAGCGTCGAATCCAACGAAAGCGTGAAAGCCGGTGAATACTGTGCGGATTCTAAAGCTCTCCTCGTCTGTGCAAAAAGAACGGAGAACCACGCGGCGGCAACTAAGAAGCCTCAGGTACATCGCTGCTGCGGGAAAAATGCAATTTTTGAAGAAAACGAGAGAATATGCGCTCTGTTAAACGACGATCCAGACGCGCCGCCATTGCTATCAAATGCGTCGATGGTGGATATCGTACCTGGTTTTCCACCATGTCCAAATTCCGACAAGTACGACATTGTCGGGAAGGTCGAAGACGCCGTGTTACTTCCCAACGGAGGTTTGGAGGTCGATGGCATCCAATTGCCAACTGGACAATTCTGTATCGAAAGAATCATGGAGACAAAAATTGCCAAAGTCTTTGCCTGCTCCGAACACAATCCACAGAGGTAAAACAATGTCTTTATAAAATTGTTTTGATCACAGTATGTCGTACAGCTTAGCATATTAGCAGTGTGATATATGTAGATATCTATTTATCAGAGAAGAAAGGTTTCAAGGTTTTGAGGCTTCAAGGCTTTGAACCGATTCTTACGTCGTTCGAGAATCGTGATTCGTTTCGAGTCACGCTTCGGGCTATAAGGCTGCCGATGATTCACGAAGGGAACCGAAGTAACGGTTAAGAAAAAATAAATAAAAAGGGGACAAAAGGGCTCGAGTTTCTGATCGCCATAGAATAAGCGGCAAGGGATACCCACAGTGCTTTACAAGTAAACCCCAGAGTCATCGTTATCGCCACCTTTTACGAGGTTATATTCTGCAACCTAACGACTTCGGCTCCCTCGGCCATCCTCGTGCACCTTCGGCGGTGTCCTGGTACTAACGGGGGTACCGAAATAAGGTGCAATTAAATCCTGAAGAAAATACAGGACACCCCGTTGCTCCTATTGCTTGCGCATGCGACATAATAACAATTAAAGCGATGCCAGTATTATTTCTATAACTGTTTCCTTATTATGCTTTTAATGTCCTTTTCTTGCACCGAGCGTCCAATGGCGTCCGTATTATATTACCAAAGGGTACCGGGCGCCGTGTTCCTTATGTCGATTTTCAACCGTTTTTATTACCAGCCACTCTTACGAGAGTCGATCGTAAAATCGGCAAGGGGAGAAATTCAGTTGAAGGTAGACGAGAAATATGCAGGAATATTAATACCACGGTCATTATGGGCCTGAGTCGTATTGGTTTCGGTGCCATGGACGAAAGTGAATCTCAATGTGGTGAGACTCATGATATTTTCTTCTACTCTTTCTACCCCTTTCGTTTCTTCCCTTTTTTTCACGATGCTTAATCTTCCGTCAGACTCTCGCGGGCCCACCTCGATGCGGACGACCCACTTTAGTCCCCTTGGAAATTTCTGTCCTGGCCTTTATTTATCGTAAGGCGTCAATCGTTATTTCCTTATAAAATAATTCCCTGCGACCTTTCAGTACCGAATAACCCATATGGCAACCGGTTCGTGCTGGACCATTTAAACAGATCTCCGTGCAGTGTCCAAGTGACCAAGTGTATTTTTAGAACAGCGCAGAATGAACGACTGACGTAAATGTCGCGTGGTATGAATGAAAGTGGAGTATTTCATTAACATCCATACCAATACTTTCTCCTTCAAACTTTCTCTCGATCCCATCTTCAAAGACGGCCCAGGTCATTGTCGCACTCAGTCATTGTAGTCCCTTCGATTTCAATTTGAACATTGCTGACCGGTACGTGGATCCGTAATTCAGAAAATGAATTGTATGCATGCGATATTACCAACCGGATATTTACGTTATTATCGTATCCCTAAATCATCCATTTTCCGGGCGAATCGGAGCATGTATTTCATTCTGCTACAAGGGGTTGTTGTTTGTCCCACACTTTTCAATATTACAGTAGGAATACAGTGCACATGCAGTGCCATTAAATTTCGCGAATACACCTACTATTTGTTCGCTTTTTTTTTCCAATTAATAATTGCATCCGACCGTGTACTGTATCCATTCTCCACAATGTAATTTCCCATAAATCTGTGTAACCCAGGAAAATTCAAAAGACTCGCACGTAAACGCAGAGGGTTGGAAATCAGGCTTTACGCTCTGCCGTGTCCATTAATCTATGTATACCCAGTATACAGAAACTGTCTAACGTATCAAGCCTTCTTCCGCTCTCTGCTTAGATATCCAGAGTAACTATACGGAAAACCTAGAATCCCATCTATTTTCTTCGGTATACTTGCTTGGCAAACTACCAAGCAATACAGACTCTCCACTATAGTTTAGAGATGGTCCAGTAACGTAACATGAATTTCGATATGTCGCAGATCGGTGGTCCAGAAGGCAGACATCAGGTTCACCTTGTACCCGCTCGCCTTCATCATCAGCGTGATCTTCCTGGCAGCGACCTTGGGAACTGGATGGCTCCTACCAGCATCTCATCACGTATTGCACTGGCGCTGCCAAACTCATCACATCGCGTGTCTGATGCTGGGTGATCTTGTCATGGCGATAATTCAGTTAGCCAGTGGTTCGATCAAAGGACCAAGTTGTAAAGCATTAGGTAAGTCCATGATAAATTCATTTGTGTTCTTTCGTATATGCGCGGGCACGTACAGACACACTTTTATATGTAGAGTTTATATATGCGAGTCAAAGGTACTAAACCTGGATATAATATACAGGGTTACACAAAAATATCGCATCGACTAAAGGGCCAACCCGTTCGTTTGATTTTCATGATAAAATCACCAATTGGTACAATCCTCCTGAATAGCACTGTATAGAATTTCATACCATTGGCGAAAGCCACGAAACTTTCGAACCGTAACCACCAAGCGATATACGGTCGGACTCAAACTAGGATGAGCCGGGATAATTCCGACAGGGACTTTCGAGCTAATTATTCGGATAATCGACGTAATCCCTGGCGAAGCTCGTTCCGCGCCGTGACGATCATCGATTAGCCAAACGTTGTGGGCTATGGTTACCAGCGGTTCTTCCACTGCCGAAGAAATTATCGGTATACGTGTTACACAATGCGTTGAATGTGACTATATTTCACGACGCTTTGTTGACGTGTGGGATCTTCGAGGGTTCGTGTCACTGGTGGTATGGCGTTCAAATGAGTTAAAAGAAAAACAATGACCCCGAGTTTCAGCTTGTACTTGCCTGCGCCGTGTAAAGGTCGGCGACCTTTCGTTCACCGAAAAGACCCGAGAAAGGAGAAAGTGGAACGGAACTTCACGGCTCGACCTACATTTTACTTCAGGAAATATTATCCTCCTTGGATTCTCCCGTACAATAATCGATAGACACTTTTGCTCTTACAGTGATTGATTCTCATTGAATATCACTTATGGCTCATTGACGGACGTAACGAGCATTCTTTCGTTGATTCTTGTAATATTTTTTTTCCTTCCGCCGGCGGCCCGACTGCAATTTCTACCGGTTTCTGGACATGCCGGTGGTGCAATTACTACGCGCCAATGGACAGATAGCGATGATAATATCTAACTGGCAATTACCGGGCAATCGAGTCGATACCCAATTAATTTCAGCACGCGTCTCATCTGCTTCTATATATGTATATCTGTATACATATATATTGTGCATTTGAACGACACCAAAAAATTATACAGGTCTCTTCATAGTATACCTTATTCATTGGTATCATTGCCATTCACAGCTTTTGCTATGTATACATATTCTATTCAGTACCCAATTTCCGTGAATACAACGTTTCGCATAGACGCACTGTGTACGTATCTCATTACTGACTACGTTGCATAATAAAGTCAAACTGTACATTTAGCATAAAATCATATCGTCGCATTAAAATTTAAATTGCACCGACTTCGTGGATTCCGTTACGGCGGTTGGATTTTCGAGTGCAAATTTCTTTCTTCTTTTCGCCTACTTCACGCTTCATTTTATTACAGTGAATCCGCGACCAGTCAAATTCTCATTTTTATTTTTTATCATCTTAATCGCGGTAATACGAATAATGGACGTTATCGCGATTAAAGAATTTTAATGGCGATTTTCTACGGAATAAAGAAATATCTCGCTGCTTGCTATTACACGCTGAACTAATGGCCATCATGTGTCTACTGAGTGCCCTTAGAAAGACACAAGTCGAGGAGCCCCATTTGACTTCTTTTTTCTTCTCCCCATCATAAAAACATACGTAACTCTCAGTTTGTACTCCATGGGATTACTTCTTGCAGCTTGCAAAGTTATTCTTTGGATCGACTCCGACGATTCGCTACTGTTTGCAAGGAATTGCCAGCTTGACGGGTGTTATGATTGTCGAAAAATATAGTGGTGACGTGGGCGACCAGTAATAGGGGCGGGTGTCGCGCTTCATCCCTGATTAAATAGTATCGCCCTTATAGCGATATCCCAGTGTCATAAGCTTGTTCTGTCAGCCGTTTTTATAAATATCTAATTATACCAGGAAACTAATATCAATATGTTATTTTAAAATGGGATAAGAACTTACTCGAGTTGACTCTGGTTTGACTCTGCTGTAATCGTAGATTTTGATAAGGCCCCTCGACCTGACTGTATGCGCGTTCCACGTACGCAGTGGGATATTGTGTGCTGGTGTAGGGGGCCACCCATTAACAATGAGCCCTTTATAATAAACAACTGCTGTAACTCCTTGAAAAGTCTGTATGGTGTATCCAAGTATGCCGGGGAATCCCAGTTGTGAAAGCTGAGAATAATGAAATCCTAAACTCGTGTACTTATTGGGCGTTTGTTATTGAAGAATAGGTTGATTTAATATTCTGTATGTGAGATTAGCTTCTTTCTTGTTTTGGGCTACTTTTTGCTCTACGGGTTCCGATAGCTTTCAGGGACTTATCGTGACCCTATGATATGGGTCTACGCTCTTGGGAGGTTATTAATAGCGATTTGTTCCGCCATTCTTATTTCGACACTCGTTCCAACTTCCTTTTTGGATAATGGAACTTAATGTGAGAACAACTGGTGTAATTGAAAATCGCTAGTCATAATGTTGCCGATTGCGTTTCAGTGTACTTTGGAAAATATTTCTACTGCCTTATTGGCTGGTTACTGCGAGTTGGTCAGCACGTGGGTCCAAATAGCGGCAACTTTAATAGAATTTAATTTGTATCTATGATCGGGGAAGACCGTCTCTTTAACCTTCGTTACTGGTCGTACAAACGTATCGATTTTATTTATCGGACAATTAGCGGCATCACGGGTACTTGGATACTGACTAGAATCTAAAGCTGCTCTGGGCTAGTTGATTTGATCGTTTACAAATTTTTATTTTTCGCTTTGTATTTCCTTTGCGATGCTTTTATCGCTTGCACTCAGAGGTCGGGAATTTTCGGAAATAAGAGAAGCGTGCTTCTGCTTTGTATACGACTACGAAAATGGGGGGGTCGGTATACGTAGGAGAAAAAAAAAAAGAAATCTACCAGAGGGTCGCGCCACGCTGATATATTGCGTTGCCATAGAGCGCAGCGTTCATTGTGAAAGCGGACACCCCTGGGAGAGATGCTGCGTGCTCCTGACAACTCGGATCGGATTTTCGAAAATTAGGGTTGACATCGGGAAAGAATTGCACGGGCAAGCTTTTGATAGCGGGAGAAGGAATCCTACCGCCGTTGACATTGGAAATGCATTTCTATGGAGATTTACACTTTGCATATAACTCTGAGCATATCGAATAAGGTGGGACGTGTGCATTTTTTTGTTTTAATAAGAATTCTCGTAATATCCTGTTCAGAGTTATCAGTGCAAAGTGACTCTGAAAAAGTTGCCATATAGAGATTGTAAGACAATTGACCAATTGAACGTTGGGTCGAGTGATGTGGCCCTGACAAAGAAGCGATGAAAGAAGTCGCGAACAGGCGACTGTATATGGTCGAGGCGCTAAAGAGACTTATGGCGCCATGGGGTCCCTTAGCGTCTCTTGCCGTCAGGCCTGGCAACTCTCCTCGTCCTCTGGGCGCCGATTACACTTGCCCGTTCGTGCTATAAATATGATTAATGTCATGCGTCCCGACGCATCCACTATTTACGTCGACGTTAAAATTCGCTCGATTCGATTTCACCCTTTCCCGCCGGGAACTCTCGAAGACGTATGTAAGTTTTCATGGGCGCCTATACGGGGAGTTGTGGAAATGACAGAGGTGACGTACGACTGGATTTCGGAAATGGCTCCCAGCATTCCGTCAGACTTTCCCCATCGGAATCCGGCAATCAATTTCTCTCTTAGTTCTCGCACCCTCCTTTCGCGATGCTTCTGCTGACTTCTTGGCTAAGGGTAGAATACACAGTGACACAAGGGGACAGATATTTTGTCCTCCTATCCCCAGCTTCACTCGCTTTCACGTAATCTCATTAGCGAATGAAAAGAAAGCGTCGTGCAGTACGTCAGGAAAGAGGGCGCCACTTATACTCGGAAAAATAACCTCGTCTCAACGAGCAGAACATCCCTTAGCGAAACTTGCGAAAATTCACTTAGCCGAGCCTCTCAATAGGCCGTGTGTACCAACGTACTCCATTCAGGGTGAGAAAAGCTCAAGGGACGCTTTTGTGACGGTACGAACCTTTTTTGCCCTTGTAAACAAAAAAAAACCGGTTAAGGTAATGGGATCTAAAAAGTTAGACGAGTAAAATTTGCTCCAGTTTTATAACGAAGAATTGCCAATTCCTTGAATCACCCTGTAGACCCGTTCGCGGGATTGTTCTTTGCGTAAAAAAAATTAATCACCCAGCTTCCGGTTATGGGAAACCCCTTAACCGCAAAGGGCTCCATGGGCAGCATCCAGCAGCATCCCATAGTAAGGACTCGCAGGGATGGACCGTGGTGAATCCAACCGGAAAAGGTTCACCTTCTTTTTTTTGCGAAACCACTACCCGCACCACCCATTCCTCAAACACGCCAGCAACGCCTACGGTATATCTACCCTATGGTACATTCGTACTAAGTCTTATACCTGGTGGTCGTAGCTTTCACGTTGGAATGCGTCCATTTTACCCATTGCCGGGCCGAAGGGAATCCCACGGAGCCCTGGATGGAGTTCGGCCAGACAACGTCGACGTTAAAACAACGAAACGACACGGCGCCACGTGCTGGCGAATGCGTACCAGACAATTGAGGACATCCATTCTCGGTACGGTCGACTCTTTCTTTCAGGCTTCCCTTCATATCCTTACTATATCTATCTGTATATCCAGCCTGACCCTCCGTCAGGCCTGTTATATATCCAACACGTTGTCTTGTCCTTCCCTTTTCTTTCATTGCGTTCGCATACCACCCTTCTTCCTCCTATTTCCCCTCTCTGACTAACAATCCTTATTCTTTTACCCCTCTAACCCTTCGTCCGGCGCCCGCAGGCTCCTCGCACCATCCCTTTGTAGTCGCATCTTCGCTATCATTCTTCGCTTCTAAACGTTAAACCTCTGGTAGGGTACCACTAATTTTCTTTTCTTTTCTTATATAGATATCTCTTTTTACTCGGTTTCGAACAAATGTCTGGTTATTCCTTTTCTTCGCTTCTCCTCGAAAAATCCTTTCAG